AGTCATTGTTAAAAGTCTGTGTCTGGATATAGTTGGAAATATCTTGAAAAAAAAAACCGTGGATAAAAACAATGGAATGGATTATCTGGTCCTGGGTAGGGAAAATGTGTATTTTTAAATCAGGATCATTCTTATCCAGATCAAACCTCTTGAACTACCAATCCTGGGTGATCAAAGCAGTCCACATGTTTTCCCTCTTTTTCTAGCCTTTTGTCACAAAGAAGAAGAGCTTAACAATTCTCTCAAATGTATACATTTCTTTGCAGTTAAAGCACTACACTATTCTGCTCCTTAGAATCAATTTCATCTGTATCCTGGACGTCGATTAAAATGTTAGGACTAAAAATGCCTCCTCCAGTCAATCCATGTCTCTGCTATTGACTACAGTATATGGCCCGTGTCCAAACCACCACCACCACCACCACCTCCACCCACCAGCCAGCCCATCTTAAAGGTTGCTGCAACCACTACATGTACCCACATTAGCAGGACACTCACCTCTCTGGGTTTATGGCCTGTGTAATAATTTTAAGCAAAGAGAGAAGTGCATTCAGTGGAGACAGTAACAGCGGGAGAGTCGAGGGAGGACAAGTAGAGTATGATTGATCGTGGTGAGCGGTATAGCTGCGTACCCCCCAGCCCCCACCACCACCCGATTACTGCCGGCTCCTGATCTCTTACATCTGTCTTGACTTCCTTAAGAAACAGATTCCTTAGATATGATACTTCTCACTATTGGGATAACAACTTTGTCAAAAGGTCAAGTTTGTGAGGAAAATCCTGATTTTCATTTATGCACATGTATGAAGTGCACAGAGGAGTAGCTGAGGTTACAGTCGATGTGGTGAATTTATAAAGGACATTCAAAAGGAGACCTCTCTGTTTTGATGTTTATTGTCAACCTTTTTTTTTCAAGCCATAAACAACTAAAAACCTATAAAGTCACCAGATAAACCCCATCCTGTCCCACAAACATCTTGGAGACGTTTCAACTCTCTAATTGTGCATTAAACATTTTTAACAGTTTATTAGTTTCCCTCCCACACTAACACTTGAAATGATTTAATCACCACAAGGGGAGTTAACAACACTCATTAGCAGATGCAATATTTCCTACGTCGTTATCTACCTTTCAAGCACCAAAACAGTGTGTGCAACCTGAAGATGGATGCAAAAATACTATAAATTTAGTACAATTCAATAGCAACGTACTGTTTAGTCCATTGTATTGGACAACCACTATATTTTTTTTTGCAAATTTGTATTATCCATACGAAATGATTAAACTACTTCATTCTCCTTCAATGCCTTGAACAATGTTTATGCCTCAGCGGCAAGGCTCTTGGTTTTCATCGAAATGAAAGATCTTTTACAGTGTCAACTGACAATATCTGCATTTTATACGGAATTCCGCAAGAGTCAATTCTTGGTCCTCTGCTTTTTCATTTCTATAAGCTCCCACTTGGAGCTAAATGATAGGCCCAAGCAATATAACATTTCATATCATTCCTCTGCTGATGACACTCAGCTATACATATTTATCACTGCCAAATAACTTACACCAATCAGTGATCTTAGTCAGTGCATTGCAGACATCAAACACTGGATGGTAACAAACGTTTTACAGCCGAATCAGGAATAAACAGAGATTCTTTTGGTAGGTCTCAAGACTGAGGGACAAAAAGTGTATACATTATCCAAATTTGCCCCTTCTTCACTTCTGCATCTGTATCCATAATGAGTCTTTGGATACTTTATCTACATTTTGCAGATAACGCTCTTCAATGCACTGTCATTTCGCTTTTTCTCACTGTGGTACTGCAGGTTAAGGATCTGAATACATCTTCCATTGTCTGCAAACACTCACTGGACTTCTTCAAGGCACCACTCCTTAGATATTATTGTACTACACAAAACAAAGGATTCAACAAATTTTCATGCAAACTGTTTCTACTTTTATGTGTTCAACAGTAATGAAGACAAAGTAAACGTATGCCAACTACAAATACCAGGAAATAAATATCAATAAAGTATCCAAACCAAATAAAAGACTGTCCATAATTGGGTTAGTAATGTTTCTGGCACCGTCTGCTCCGTCATTTCCTCCGATCCCTCTGAGCACCAGGGGACCAAACAGCCCACACTCAAACCAGGAGCTCTGTCGCTGCTGTGTGACTGGCTGCAGACACTGCCATCAACACCAATTCTGATGGAAGGAAAGTGGGAGAAAATATGAGCTCCATCTTCAGATGTTAAACACGCAGCGACTTCTCAAATCTTTTAATGATTTGTGACCCTTTTGTGGACAGCGAAATCGCGAAATCATGGACCCATAACTTCGCACTTAATCTGTATTACTCTCATAACAACAGAGCAAGCCACTCTATCAGTAAATGCTAATCTCCTAATTAACAAGCTAATTAGGCAATTACAGCTTTGCAGAAGGATGCCTAAATGAAATATGACAACACAGTCACTTTCTACAGCACCTGTGGGTCTTTTCAGATGTCACAACGAGAAGCATGATGACAAAGTGTTGTCTCTGCGCTCGTAGGTGCTAATTCCTATGCCTGGCTTGGCTCATTTGTAAAAATATTGTCATTTTATTTAACCTAATGTACAGAGTACGCCGAAACAACTTGTCAAGTTACATGTAATTTATCTCAGTAGCATTTTCAGGCATTCAGTAATATGGTTTTTAAATGAAGTGCGCTGAAAACATTGGGGAGCATATCTTCTTGGTGACGTAAACAAGGTTTTGTGAACTTGTAGCGCCACAGTGTCTGACTGTAAGGAGCTGTCACATGTGGAAATGAATTATGTTGACATATGGCTGAAAACAGCGGTGAATAGGCTCAGCTATATGCAATGCAATGAAGAATCATGCACTGCAACAGAGGAGAGGAGCCCGAGCTGTACCTTTGAGCCCTGCCTGACAGGTATGCAGTGTGACTTGACAGCTCAGTATTTCAGTGATAAATGCAGTAGTCCTGGGACTCCCAGACGCTAAACTCAAATGTGTGCTGCTCCCATACTTCAAGGTCAAATGAATGAGCAGAACACACACACACACGATGCTAAAGAGAATTTTATTTTTGTGTAATGAAAACTTGCAATATTAAAATGACTAACTTTAGATCTCAGTTCTTAGTCAATTTTAAAATCTTTTAACGTCAAAGATGCCCTAAAATATATAGTTTATATGTGAAATTTAACACCTTATTATGATACATGATGCTCAGCCATTTTTTTATTAAACCTGCATTTTTTAATCTATTCTCTATCAAACTGTGCTACAATAGCCGTATGTCATATTAAAAGAAATTTGACTTGTTCTCATCTATTAACTAAACTGCAAATTGAGTCCTGGTCAGATAACAGTAGAGTGACGTTTTCCCTCTTCTAATAGGAGGAACAGATGTTGAATACTTTTTTTTTGATGCTGTGAGTTAATGGATCATAACTTTAAACTTCTTTGAAAATGGATTCCTTTTCTTTAGTTGCTTAGTTGTGGTTCGAAAAAAATGAATCATAAGACCAGGATGTTTTTTACCTATTCAAATACAAATCAGATGATAAAATATTAAAGAATGTCGCTGACTAAAATGTTTTAATAAGTTTACACTTCACTCAGTATTTAAAAGGTGTTTCGGAAAATGAGATACAAAAATGTTGAACCAATCACATTTCTTATTCATGTCTATAGTGGGGGTAAATATAGAAAGAGTTAACTCTTTGTAACAGCTGGGAAAACACCACAAAATGAATCAATGCAAAGAAACAGCTCCCATTTCTGACAGGTTACAGGATTAACTTTCTGCACACTGTGTTGTAATTTTTTTTTTTTTTTTTTTTTACCAAGTGAACAAACCTATGAGAATTTTGTTTTATAACACAAAGTAGTTTGTCAATGGAATTTTTAATAGTGTCAAAAAATAGTGTCGATAACTAACAAGTACATATAATGAAAACCTCACTTCCTTATTTAAAACATTTTAGAAGCACATCAATTATCAACATGCTGGAAAACACTTTGAATCTTTGAACAGTTAAGATTTTCTTAAAATTCCCAAAGCTCACTGCCATTGGTATAAGTGAAAAACACTACAGTTATTACTTCTCCATCAGTATAGGTCACTAAATAAATAAGGATGAAGACTGACAAGACTTCAATCTGTGTTCGCCTTGTCGACATACAGCTTAAAACCAGAGTGCAATATGACCGAAATTAAAACAAGAAAGTGGAAAGAGAGGAAAGAGTGTTTGGTTTAAACTAACTAATTCAAATATCTTCAAAATGTATTTTTGGCAATCTCTGTCTCTCCATCTTTACATCTCTCATATTGATACTTTTGATACTCTTGTGTTTATTTAATTTCATTCATGGTTTTTGCTGTAGAACATATTTAATGTGAACAGTTTTGTGGTGAAGCAGCAGAATACATACTGTTCATCTTGAGTCTTCTGTCAAAACTTCAGCATCAATGCTTTGCAATTTTCAAGACCTACTGTAGGCCTACTTTTAGTACAGACTGACTTTTAATACAAAAAAAAAGTGCCTCCACAGTTTACATCTCTGATCTGTTATCATGAAATGCTCCCAAAATGAATATATACATATATCTGATTACATTTTCTAAATAAACCCATGCTCTTATTGTTTATTGTAGAGGTGCACAGTATATTTGCTGCCTTGCATCCAGCTCAACAACTTGTCTGCTGCCATAGCAACTGCGGAGGAGCACGGAGCAGCGCCGCCTGCTTGTGCAATGGATGTCACTCGTGGCAACGACCAATCAGAAGTTCCCATCCTTTTATACAAGGGGTGTGAAGACGGAGGGATGGAGTGGGTGGGCTCTCAGCATCATGCATCTGCCAGTAATAGGACACGCTGATCGTCAGTCTTCGTCACTCTCTGCTGTGATTGGTCGACGAGCTTTACTTTCCAATAATATAAACATGTCTACTGCCCTGCCAGGCTTGAACCAGGGCTTACAGGGACTATGCAGTTCTACATCAAACTGTATAAAAACTCTCATTATGTATTTGCCTGTGTAGTTGCAGGGCTAAATCTGTATTATTGCTAAAGAATATGCACATAGCTGCACGTGCACGCCTGAGGAAAAGAGGATATCGTGCTGCCGGTGCTGCGAGAAAGAGAGAGAGAGAGGGAACTGTGCCGAGCTTTCATCATTATAATCACCACCCTAAGTACTAGCTCTTAACATTTTGTTTTTCGGTGTTCAGGCGAGAAGTGACAAGAATATAGACCCCTCCTCTGCAGGGCGGAGCGTGCATTTTCATTCCGTATTTTGTATTTTTTATTTTTTTTTCTAGCCCTGTTCCCTGCTCTGACACGTCTGCACTGAGTGAGTGGCATTGGCACACTGTCAATCGCTCACTACCGCTGCCATCAAACAACATAAAACACACACAGGCAGAGGCTGGAGCTCATAAATTTCAGCAGGGCAACATATTTTTTGCGCATCGCCTTTACACAGCGTTGTGTCCTCATTAATTTCTCCTTCATTTTTTTCTAAACACAACTTTTTTTTTTTCTACATTTCATATTTTTATAGTCATATTTGGACACCTTACGCCGCAGCTCGTGGTTTTTTTTTTTATACGCGGGAATCAATTCTACACATTTATAGTTGGCAACACCTGCAAGATTTTTCTATGTGTTTACACGTTTCCACATTGGATATTTTTTTGTTGCCGGTGCTTCGCGAGGACGATTTGGACATTTTTTTCTTTGGAAAGGAAATGCGCCGGGAATCCCACGAAGAGCGCTAATAAATGAGAGATCACCAGGAGCGTTTCTGTCTCTAGCAGCCGTCAAATCCAAGAGAAAAGACAGATTGGCACGAGGATCCGCGCAAGGAACGATGGACCGGCAATTTTGACAGAGAAGTTTCAAAGAAGAAAGAAGATTTATGCGTTTTTCTACTGACACATTAACGCGTTTTGGCACTTTGGACCGCGCGTAAAAAAGCGAGAGGACAGCGAGAACTTGGACTCAAGATTTACACTAAAACACCACTGCTAGGTGTTTTTTTTTTTTTATCAGAGAAACGTGTGTGCGCTGTTTCGCTGAAGAAATCCCACAACCGTGCATCCCTCCTGTCTGCGGCACATGTTATAACCCATTTCGTATATGAGTTTTTCAATTTGTGTGGCTCAGTGCACAGACTCTTTAGCGGCTACTATGGACGATCAAGCCCGGATCATGCAGTCCCTCGGCGGTGTGAGTCTGGGCGGCCACTCGGTACAAGGAGGCATGGCACTGCCGCCTCCACATGGACACGATGGGACGGACGGAGACGGAAGAAAACAAGACATTGGTGACATTCTGCATCAAATCATGACCATAACTGATCAGAGTCTGGACGAGGCGCAAGCAAAGTTGGTTGATTTATATGTTTTATTAACTTGGCCCCCCTCCCCGAAACGCTGAACGCATCATTATTGAGATGTGGCCCGTTTAACTTAAGTCCCCCATGCATAACAATAGGCTGAAGTGGCTTTAATGATAATCTCACACTGAGGTGTGTTTAACAAGTGAGAAAGTTGTCAGTAAGGGGGACGTGAGCATTTTAGAGAAACTGCTTGTGTGCCAGCTTGCCTTGTTCTAAAAGTTTGTGCACACATGTCCTGAAGTAAATGTTTCTGATGCTATGAAACTCTGACAAATGCTGAAAATTCATGTTTAAATAGTCTTTGCATCATTCAGCTTACTCATTACATTTATAAAGAAGCAATAGCCTACTAAAAGGTCAAACCAAACAAATAGATTTCCATGATAACTTCAAGCAAACACTGTACAGTAGAAATGAATCACTTTTAATAAGAGACATATTTTTGTTGTAACATTTAAAGACCTGAGGTTGCTTCAACTAAAGTTAAAATCTCAAGGTGTTAGTATGTATCATATGGGTTTTCAGTGAATTTATTTCAGTATTTTATCTTGTCTTATACTGAAACAGGAAACATGGACTGAACTGTCACAGAATGAAACCAGCACTCTTCAGCGTTCTCTGTGAAATCAAAGAAAAGACAGGTAAGATCTTTTTTAACATATTAGAAATATAAGGCAAATCACACCTGCACACAGACATGTTAACCTCCCAGTGA